AAGGTTACGCCGCGATTTGATGGCTTTGAGAACAACTCTGGGCATGTTCGAGGACGAATGTATGTTTAAGTAAGGGAGGATGTAACGACCCGACCGGTCACTTTGAGTATTTGCACTTTGCTCGAAAGTTTTCAGGCATGAGTAGCTCCGTATGATATGTTATTATTTATTTGAAACGTTGCTTTTGGTTTTCAGGTTATTCGAAATTTGATTTGGAAGAATGATTCTCAGCTAGAAGCTTTAAATTTGAAAGGTTTGACCAAGTTTGAAATTTTAGTATTTGACCTCGGATTGGATTTCTGATAGTTCTGTTAGCCATGTTGGTTAATTTTAGGCTTAGGAGCGTATCCAGATTATGGTTTGGAGGTCCGTAGTAGTATGTGGCTTGAAATGGCAAAATTTAGAATTTTAGAAAGTTTGACCGGGAGTGAACTTTTTGATATCGGGGTCGGATTCCGATTCCGAAAGTTGGAGAAAGCCCGTAATGTCAAATATGACTTGTGTGCAAAATTTGAGGTTAACGGACGTGCTTTGATAGGTTTCGACATTGGTTGTGGAAGTTGAAGTTTCAAAGTTTAATGATTTCGAATTAAGGGGTGTTTCATCGTTTCGATGTTGTTATGTGTGTTTTGAGGCCTTGAGTAGGTCTGTGTTATGTTATGTTATGTTGGCACTTGTTGTTATGTGTGTTTTGATGCGAGATTTGATTAAGGAGTGAAGGTCCGCAGGTGCGGAGCTATTTGCGCAGAAACGCGACCGCAGATGCGGTCATGGCCATCGCAGAAGCGGTCTGTCTCGTAAATGGGGGCCCTTTTTCCGCAAAAGTGAAGGTCGCAGATGCGGACCCTTATCCGCAGATGTGAAGGTGCTGGGGTAAGTGTTCTCTACTCGGTTTTGATTGTATTTCATGAATCCATCTTCATTCTTAGCATTTGGTTGATAAATTGAAAGAGAAAACTGGGAGTTTTGGCCTAAAGTTTCATAATATGAATTTTTGAGTTTTGAACACTGATTTGGAGTCTTGAATGAAACTAGTAAGGTTGGACTCGTAATTGAATGAGTTGTCGGATTTCACGAGTTTTGTTGAGTTTCGAAGCATGGTCCCGGGTGTGATTTTTGGCCAGATTTGGGATTTGATGTAGAATTCGATCTTTGTCATTTGTAATTGTTTGCTTGGGATTTATCTGATGTTTTTGAGTTGCTTTTGGCTAGTTTTGAGCCGTTCGGAGGTTGCTACGTGCGTGATGGCATTCTTGGCGCATCGCTTGGCTTGCTCGTCATTGGAATTGGCTTGTTTAAGATAAGTAACTCTTCTAAACTTAGTGCTGACGATATGAAACATCGAATTACGTGTTGTGTGATTGGTATTGAGGTGACAGGCGTGTGGCGTGCATCCTGTGAATTTTGACTCCGTTTTTTCCCTGGCACTGTATAATGGCCCTACCTTTGTTGATATTTATGTTTTCACCATGTGATAAAGTAATTAAGCTGTCAATCTTGCTAGATATCATATTTAGGCTTTATACCAATACTGTTGTGACCCATAGTGGTCGTTTCTTGTTGTCATTTCACTGATTTTATTTCTATTTCGTACTCAGTCATATTCATGCATTCATATCATATCTCAGTCTCAGTTGTTATTTATTAATACATCATATCATTATTGTTGGGTTAGTTTTATGACATTGAGAGCCCGAGAGACTGAAGAGATTGATGATTAAGTGAAGCTGAGGGCCTGATTGTGAGGTTATTGATGCTATAGCACGTGAGTTATCCGTGCAGCACGTGAATTGTCCGTGCGGATTCTTATATTGATACTATGGCATGTGAGTTGTTCGTACAACACGTGAGTTATCCGTGCAAATTATAGCGCTTGGGCTGAAGGCGCCCTCCGGAGACTGCACACACCCAGTGAGAGCAGATACCTATTGAGTGCGAGTGCAGAGTGCCGAGTGCCGACTGATTGGGAGGATTGAGTGACTGTGAGGACTGAGTAACTGGGAGGACTGAGTGGCAGGAAAGAATAAGTGAATTGATACTCTGAGAGGATGCATATGGTTTTATTGCTGAGTCGCATCGCATTTGATATGCACATGACATCATGCATAGAGATGCATTTTCATCAAGCTGTATGGTATCACGTCATTCATGACTTTTTACACACAAAATATGGTTATAGAGAGGTATTTCACACATGCTTTCTGAATAGAAAATGAAACATCATATTTACTGTTGAAAGGATTTTTGGGAAAAAGTTACAGTTTTCAAACTTATTTATATTTTGACGATTTCGATAAAGGATTTTGGCTTTCATTGGTACACTTGAAAAGTGGAACCGTTTTCGGAAAAATTATGAAAAGGCTGAGCATTTTATCTCTAAGCTATTTCTTTCTTTATTTATTTATTTTACACTGTTATGAACTGCTATTGGTTATTGGTGTTGAACCCGGCCTACGTTTTAGTCGTCACTGCTTTCATCTAAGTTTTGGTTTGTTACTTATTGAGTACATGGGATTGGTTGTACTCATACTATACTTCCTGCGCATTGCGTGCAGATTTCGGATGCCGATGTTGTTGTGTTCGACAGAAGCTGGATTGGAAGATGTACCTGCATCCCTCTTGTAGCTGTCTCTTGTTCATGGTGGTCTTAGATTATAAAACTCTGTTTATATACTTTTCAAACAGAAGATGTATTTGCTTCATATCATCTTTATAAACTCTATTTTTAGAAGCTCATGATTTGTACTACCATCCTCTGGGAAATGTAATAGATCCAGAAAATGTATTTATGTTTAATTGGCTTATTAACATTATTGAGATTAGATAGTTATAAGTTGACTTACCTAGCGGGTTGGGTTATGTGCCATCACGACTAGTGAATTTTGGATCGTGACATCCATAGATGTATACATGTGTTATTTACATATCTTCTCCATATGCTAGATCTGGAATATATACATAACTTATTGTGCATATCTTCTCTATATGTTGTTTGGCCTGATTAGTGAGTGCACGGTACATATTTTCTTAATATGTCTACCTATGCACTGTGACTTGATAATAGATGCATATCTTCTATATATGTTAGATTATTAAATGATATAGAGCTTGGCACATTATCTCTTTGGTTAATTCCAGACATAATTTGTTGGTAGAAACAATAGAAATATAAATGAAAAAATGAATGATTGTTAGGACCCTGGCAGCGAAACCAAAGTATTTAACCTTAAAATAGTTTTTATGGTAAAATCAATTAATTTTATATTTCGCACACTAATAACCGATTTAATTTACTTTTTCTAAATATGAACAATATAAAAAGGTATAACAATTGAACAAAGTAATTGAGAGATAAATGCAAAGAGAAATCTTATTGATGTTAATAGCCCTTCTTTCGTGTAAGCACGGTATTGAATTGCTAAAAGTAGAACAATGAGATTTTGTAATATGATTGAGAGAATAACTAAATAATTTTCAGATGGGGGATGCAATATAAGGGATAGTGGTTTGAATAGTATTTTTATCCATAACAGATTGCCTAATTCAGCTCCTGCCCATTACTGACATTTATTGTATTCATTATATGTTATATAACTGGCATATAATTGATGGCATAATAATGACAAATTTCGCGTAATTGTGGATTAATTGACTCTCTCTATCTTCGTAATTATGAATAATCCTCTATACCATATCCGGTGCTATTTTTTGACGATCATTCTCGGGTCTAGTAGCCATGGTATTAACATGCTTAGCTTCGAACCTAATTTACACGTCACCTTTAAGTTACTTCATAATTTTGTTAACACGTGTCACCTGTTAATTGATCGACATGACAAATTTATTTTCCACTAATACACATACTACTCCTGACTCAGCAAGACCCAGATAAGGAGAACGACTACCAACTTTTTACGGGAGCAAAATTAAAAAAAGTATTACTAAATAGTCTTATAATGAGGTAGTACTACCGATGCAAATTTACTATAGAACAGGGGTGTGTTTGGTACGATGGAAAATATTTTTGTAGAAAATGTTTTCATGAAAAAATAATATTTTTATCGCTTATTTTTCCTTGTTTGGTTGGTAAGTGAAAAAAAAGTCGGAAAATATTTTCTAGTGTTTGGTTAGAGAGTATAAAATATTTTTTTTATTACTCTCTTCAACCCACCTTCTCCAGAATCCTCATGTTTCATGTACTCCTTCTCCTCCCCTCCCCCCTCTGGGACTTTATTTTCTTCAAAAATTTAATTATTCTTTTCAAGTTCACACAAACGCAAACGAACTAATGTGCTACTTTACTTTTTCACACAAAAACAACATTGAAATTTGAGCTCAATAACTAAAAAAAAAACTTTTTTGTTGAAAAAGAAAGTATCCTTGTCTACAACATGAAAAGAAATTAATCATTTTGTTGAATGAAGGAAAATATATTTTCTACATCATGAAAAAAAATACTCTTAATAATATTTCTTTTTAGGGTGAGTGGGCGAGGTTGGAGTGGGTGGGGTGTGGTGGGGGGAGGGGTGGTTTGGAGGTGAGTTGGTGGGGATAAGGAATATGATGCAGAATGTTGAAAAAGAGTTTTGGAAAATATTTTCCGGGAAAACATTTTTCTCCAATAAGGAAATTAGTTCATGAGAAAATATTTTTCAAAACAATTAACCCTAACAAATATGAAAAAATTAAAAAATATTTTCCTTCGTACCAAACACACCTAGATGTGGACTCATTTTGAATACACCTGCCTATATCATTAAAAATAAATTTAAAAGGGATCACGTTTCTAATACTTGCAATGCTTGATATGATGTTATTATGTTGGAAAAACTGCACGAGTCCATGCATGCAGAATACACACGGGGTGGACCATGGAAACAACCTTGTCTTTCTGTTTAATTTTTTACTGTCTAACCAGTGGATATAGGGAAAGATTATAATACACGGAGAAAAAAATTTCTTGTAATTTGTTTGACATGTACAATCTTTTGTTACTTGTGACGTTCCTCCTTAATTATCCCTATTTGAATTTCATCAGAAGTAGCAAAAGGGTTGGCTGTACTCTCTTCGTACCCCACTATACATCTAAAATAAGTAGAAAATGATTATAACAGAAATTATAGACCAAAAAAAAAGCAAAAGAAAAAACCATAATACAACTCTATTAACACAGATAATTTTCCTTGTTTTCTGGTATGAGTTGCGTATATTCCTCAATATCTTCGTTGTCATCAACAACAGAGACTATAGTTTCGGTGAGATCTTTAGCCCTCACTGCTTCAAAATCCCAATCAGTACGAATCAATACCACTAACATAGTCACCATACACGAAGCCTGCGCAGCCAACAATCCCAGCCATAAACCTTCAAAATCAAATCCTGCATAAAAACTTAGCCCCACAGCCACAGGCATTCCAACAAAATAAAAACAACCCAAATTTATATTCGCACCAACTTTTGGCCTTGCAGTTCCTCTCAACACCCCACATCCAGTTGTTTGTGGACAGTTCCCAAGTTCGCAAAGCCCAATTATCGGCAATACAAGTGAAGTCAGTGCAAGAATTTCATTATCTTGAGTGAACATCTTGGCCCAAACTTTTCTTACTGTTACCGCAAAAAACAGAGCAGAAAAGCCCAATATGAAGCTGCCAGCAAGGCCTACAATGGCTGCAAGTTTGGCTTTGTTCGGATTTCTAGCACCTAATTCATTGCCAACTCTAGTTGAAACACTGAAACTAAGAGAAGATGGGAATATGTAAATTAATGAAGTGATCTGAATTAAAATTCCCATTGAAGCAACTGTTGCCTTTGGATTTAGTAAACCCCCACAAAGCAAAATCATAATCTCGTACCACCACCATTCTAGGCAAACGGAAATGCAGCTAGGAATTGACAAATTTAGGAGTTCTTTCCATCCTTTGAGACACTCTGTTGACAAATTTTCCCAAGTCTTTTTGTACACACCAGAAATGAGGATATATACAATTAATGAGGCTACGAGGTTGAAATTAGTCCAAACGGCGCTAAGGGCAACTCCTTTGACACCTAAATTAAGTTTAGTAACAAGAAGAAAATTAATGGGAATATGTAGAAGAATTGTTAGGACGGCACAAAATGTGAGAGGCAATGTTATGGATTGGGTTCTGAGGTAAATACGCAATGGATGAAGTAATGATTGTGCAAATAAATCAGGAATTGAGTAAAAAAGGTAAGATTGAGCTTCTGTGGCAATATCTTCATCTTGGCCACAGTAGAGAAGAATAGTTTTCATGTTGACCCAAAGTAGAGCGATAGGAGATGAAGTAAAAATAAGCAAAAGAATGGTTCGTTGTAAGGAAAGTCCAAGAAGATTATATTTTTTGGCACCAAAAGCTTGTCCACAAATGGGTTCCATTCCCATGGCTAAGCCAGAGAGTATTGAATATCCAGTGATGTTAGCGAAGCCGACCGCTAACGAGCCGCCAGCTAGCGCTAAGCCGCCGAGCCGGCCGAGGAAGAGCATGGAAATTAATGAACGAGAGTAAAGTAAAAGGCCAGTGAGTATCATGGGAAAAGCAATATTGGCTACGGATTGTGCTTCTTTAAAGACAAGGGAGAAATGAGTGGTTTTGTCAAGAAGCAAATTTTTTGTTGGGCATTTGGGGATCAAAAGGGTGAACATGTTGGCCTCTTGTGGTTCATTGCAATTGCACTTGCAATAGAGTGGTGAACTTGTCGGCTTGCACATTTTTATGTATGTGAAACGGGAAAGAGAAATAGATGGAGGAAAGAGAGCTGTGAGATGTGTGATTTAAAGTGGAAGGAATGAAGGGGTTTTTATAGTGACACTCGGACAGTTTTTCTTGTTTGAATGTTGGGTGAATGGCTCTGACCTGCCTTCCCACTAACAGAACATTGAAAATCGATTTTGTCAACTATGATTTCAAGTTGAACACGGATTTCAAATAAATAAAAAAAGAATTTTGAAGTTTATGATCTAGAATATATATATATAT